ANNANNNGTTTTTTCCTTATGTGATATAATAGAATTTCGGTATTAAATTTGTAAATTCAAACATTTAAAAGAAAAGATTCCAAACATTTTTTTTGGGTAAATTTCATTTTATCTTGGTTTTCATTATCACATTTCTAACAAACTAATTAGTATTATATTTTTTTATCTACATTATCTAACCGATTTTTTATGATACAATTAATATAATATCTTAACAAATTAATCATTTGTCTAACCAAATTTATCTCTCTAACAAACTTGCCAATTTTTTTAAAATTAAAATGGTATGATTATTCTTATGGAGATACTTATCAATATATTAAATATTTAGAAACTTTTTTTAAAATGAGTTATTCCTCCTTTTTTACTTTATTTGAAATTCTGACTTATATTTTTAAATATATTATTATTTATTTTTTTACATGTAAATATTTATTATTTATTATCTAAGTGATAAATATTATTAATTTATCTCTTTAACAAATATTTATTATTTATTTTTTTCCTTACGTGATATAATGTAAATTTGGTTACTAGATTTTTAAATTCAAACATTTAGGAAAAAACCACGAACAAATTTTTTGGTTACATTTCATTTTATTTTAACTTCCATATAATCACAATCCTAACAAACTAATTAGTATAATATTTTTTTTACCCATTTTTATATAATCGGATTTCTTAAAATATAATTAATATAACATTTTAACTATTTAATCATTTGTATAACTTGATTTAACTCATTATCAAACTTGCCAATTTTTTTTTGAAATTAAAAGAAAAAATTGGAAGATTTTTATTTGTAAAATAATAAAAAATAGCTTTACTTTACAGTCTGGATTATTTCCATTATTTTTTGTACGTTAACAATCATAAATTTTGGATTATTGATTTAAAAAAACAAATCAAAACCGTAAGGTTTAATAATATTCCTTAAATAAAAAATATTGTATAAAGAAAAGTATTTAATATTATATATTTTACATTGATTGTATTTATTTTATTTTCATAATAGACGAGATGTGAAAAATATAAATAATTATATTTAAAATAAAGTCTAAAATATGTTTAAAATATGAACTCTTCCGTGCATCGCACGGGATATACACTAGTTAAATAATATCAATCAATCATTCTTACACACCACCTTACATTAATTCACTATTCATCTACTCACATAATTTTAACTAACCATCACTTCAAATCTTTTCTCTCATACTTTACATCAAATCAACTTTAATTATTTTATTTTAAATATTATTCTAAAATACCCACCAACAACTAATCATACCAATTTTTTCAAAATTAACCAAACCAAACAAAAAAATCCAAACCAAACCAAAATTTGTTATATCCGATATATTCTCTCAAACGAAACCATAAATCAATTTGGATTTTTTTTTTTTTAATTTAATAGTGGCGATCGATTTCTGGTGGTTTTCTGGCCACGAGGAAGACGACGACGACAGAGGCTTCACTAAAAGGTATGTGTTTGTTTGTTTTTTTTCTTTGGTTTTTTTGACATTTTTTTCTATGTTTCCTGTTTGAAGAGGCTGTATATTGGTTGCGATTGTGGATGTCACCAGTTACAGGTGCCACCGATGTCGTTGTTTCGGAGGTGTTGCCGGCAAACCCCATTTTAACTATTTTTTGTTTGCTGCTGTTGGGTGATTTTTACTTGATAAAACTATCCTGGTTATATTGTCTAGCTGAAAGTGGTGATTGATATCCCCACAACCCTCCACTGGAAAAAAGGTAGTTTAATTTGAGCTTTTTTCCCTACTGGTTTTGTTTGGTTTCATGATCTTATTATCGCAAGAAGTACCGGAGAACAAGCACCGCGTTTCAGTTATAATTTTTTCCATTTTTTTGTTGTTAATTTTTGAATTTTGACATGGCGCAGTGACGGTTCTGGTTTTCTTGCAATTAAATGTCGTTTGTTGGTTGAATTGGACCTGTAGAAGTGAATGACTGCTTAATATATAGTTACATTTTGGGCGTTGAGAGTAATTTGAGCTAATGCTAATGATATTGGTTTCAAATGGGTTGAAATATGAATGATTTAGCAAGCATACTCATTCCAGGTCCCCCAACATGCCAGTTGCTTGAATTTCAAGAATCCCTGGTTGAAGGCTCGCACCTTAGCCTCGTTGCTTCTTATGCTGGAGGGTACGCCTCTACCATTGCTATTACTTCTTACCAGTGGTGTTCCCTTTGCATCCGTTACAATGAAGTTTAATTTTTACTTTTCTATTTTTTCCGTGTGAAGGGGGACTGCTCAGGTGATTGGTTTAGAATGAAGGGAGATGGTCATAGCGAGAAACTTCATGTAGGAGGTAAATATAGTTTTGTCCATTCTGTTTACTTTATTTTATTTATAACATATGTTATTTGTTTACACTAATCTGATAAATCAAAATTGGGTGTAGAATTTCCAGATTTCACACTCGATGGTGTTGGACATCGCGTGGAAATAGTTTGCACCTATCCATGATGATGGCTTAAAGGGATCCCCTAAAACAATTGTTTCTTATTGCATTGCTCCTGGTCAGTGGTTTTCATTTTACTTTGATGCTAACTTCTGTAGTGGAAATGTCCTATATTATTTCTTAACTTTTATTTTCTTTTATATTCCTCCTTTTGAAATCTAAGGAGCTATTGATTTTTATGTTCATAATTCTGGATTATTTAGCTTGCCGATCAAATTTATTTGAGCTTGCTCCTTCTTTATGGTAATATGGTTACACATTCTTTAATGTGATTATTTCAAATCAGATGAATGCAAACATATGAGTTCTGAGTTCTCATTAACACTTAAATACAGGGGAACCTTTAGAGGTTAAATTGGTAATCCTGATTGCTGTGAGGGCCTGAAGTGGTTCCTGAAACAAGATATTTCGGAAGATGAGATGGAATCGGGAAGTACTTTTTTTCAGATCAAAGGATAAGCTCGATGAACCTTCCCTGAAGGAACTTCTGATTATCGAAAGTGTCGATATATGGCGGCAGACATTGTAAGTATTTTCTGAAATTTGATGTGCCAACTTACAAGATCAACGACATTCTCTTATAAGCCTGTGGTCGTAGTTTTACAATGTTGATTAATCGATTTGTTTTGATTTTGTGAGTTATTTGAAGATTTGTCGAATCCTTTGTCCAGCCTTTTTAAACGAACCGTTGTCGCGTTTTGGCTCTGCTTCAAGTATGTGCAAACACCTTTGATTACTCATACGAATAATAGATGTATATTATGTGCTGGATTCTTAGGATCATATTTTGTATAGTTTTAGATTATCTTTTACCTATTTAGTTATTCTGAAGTTGTCTAATCTTCTTTTGAAGTTCAATGCACGGAGTGAAAAATGTAACTGTTTGATGGTTCCTATTCTTGGCTAAATGGACCAGATATTTATGGAATTATGATGTTTCACAATTCACCAATGCAGTATGAAGGTCGAGAAGATTGGTTAAGGGATGTATGGAGTGGTCTACAGGGCCTGTGATTGAGTGAGAAATGAAACCATTGCTTTGAAGAAAATCAGGCTAGAGCAGGAAGATGAGGGCATACCTAGCATGACTTTTAGAGAGATATCTCTTTTGAAAGAGATGATTCATGGGAATATTGTGCGGTACTTCTGTTTAGCGTCGTAGTACAATGTGGATAATTACAAATCTTAATTGAGTATTAAAGATGAATGCAGAGATTTTTCTTCGTAATACTTTTGTTTCAGTACCTTTCATTTATGTTTAATTTTCTGATGGTTGATTGT